CTTAGAGTATCTGTCCAACAGATAAGTAGAAGACAGGTCAGGAAGGATTTATATCATAACATAAATTCCCTACATAAATTCTTAAGTAGGAATTATACATACTAGCTACTAAAAACATTTTCATCCTTATTTTCCTGTATCCAAAGTTTCAATCTGCACCTCCATGGAAGTCCTCTGCTGTACTCTGAATAGCTGCAATAAGTCCAAATGCATGCTGCTCACTTGAAATAAAATTATTTTAAATTATGGGGATGAAAGCAGTCCCAAACAAGATTTGACCATCATTGCTCAAAATGCTGAATATACAAATGGTTTGAAAACATCTTTGCTTTGAGAATGTTAAAATCTAACCAGCACTGACATATGGCTTAAAGGATTAAAAAGAAATTGTTATCTCCGCTATACAGATGGGAAATTGAGGCACAGAAAGAATAAAAACTTGCCTAAGGTCAAACAAGAAATCTCCTTGGATACACTCTTTCTCTCTAACGTACCTCAGTGTAAATTTATAGTCACTTAATATAGAAATGTAGTAGTCATTCAGATAATATACTTCATCATAGGAATCTTTTTCTTATCATTATTTCTGAAGTAAGTTCAGGCTAACGGCACAAATCTGCTTGGAACAGAGTATAGCTAGCCTGCTAAAGGCATTATCTGAGTCAACAGGATAAAACATACCAGCATTTAGTCTTTGAAATATTTTATTTCAAACTAGAAACTTTATCATGCTACCCTTTAGAGACTAGGATTTCTCTTCTGTTTTTGCCTAGCTTCCAATATATTGATATTTGTTTTTCCTTTGGATGATATGCTTATGGAGGACACTGAAAAAATTACACATGCACCAATTAATTAAAGCAGAGCTTGTCATAAAGCTGTCTGGACTATTTTGAAAAGGATACAGAATTAAATATTCCAGCCACAGAAGCTGTCACCACAAAGGAAAACTGTGTCATTGATCTGATATCAAACATGGTTTACAGTATTTGAGCATGATGGACTTGACTCCCTTAATTACAGTGGATTAAAGCAGGAAGACTTCTATTGATGTCTGTAGACTTGTAGCAGGAATAACTTACTAAGGAGACAAGAATCAGGCCCATCCACTGCAGGAAGATAGTGTCACACTTTTGTGACGACTTGACAGGAGAAAAATTCCTGTATTCATGCATGATAAACCACATGTATCACGCTGAGTATACAGCATGCAGTCAGTACTGTGCTGTGAGCAGTGTAAGCACCAGGACCATGGTGCGAAGCATCTGCTCCCAGTCTTCCAGGCTTACTAATGACTTCAGCCTTCACTGTCTTCTGATGAATAAGGAATGCTAAATGACTATTTTAGAGGCAGTTAGAGGGTCAGGAGAGGTGATTCATGTTGACATTATCTAAGGCAAGAGATCATGAGGTTGCTGCCAAGCACCTTTAAGAAAACACTTCCTTGCAGCCCTAGACAGCAAATCCCTGTTACCACTCATATAAATAAATCAAAAGCCAGATTTGGTTCAACAGATTCACTAGCCGCTGTCACAGTCAGATTCATTCCTGTCTTCAGTCTCAGGAATGCCAGTTGCTCCAATTTCACATCTGTGTGGTTATGTTCTTCTTATATAGAAAAGTCTCTTACTAATCCTTATTCAACCAGAAAAATAACTATGCACATGAAAATTAATTACACAGCCTCCATTAACTATTTACTTGTTGTGACAGGAGCTAAAAATTAAAATGAGGAGTTCTCAGAGATTTACTGATTTACTTTTTTTTTTTTTTTTTTTTTTTTTTGTACTCAAATTTGGTCTTTAAAATGTGAGGTTTTCCAAGAATAAATCTCTACAAACTTATTTTCAACAAAATCAATTTTAATAATTCCCCAAGACAGTAATGCCTAGTTGCTACTCCTACACTGTGATTCAAACAGTCTGTTATGTCCCTGACATTCATAGACCGTGAGAAAACCACTGAAAAACCAGGCTGAACATCACTCAGTGATGCTAAGGGACCACAACTAACATATTGATTTAAAAGCACTCTAAAGACAAAAACATATTCATAACTATTTTTAGAACACTATTTTTTTTCATGGTGATGTGAGTACTGAATATCTAATTTGTTGGGTTTCATCAATAACATTAATACATAAATGGTGTTACGAAAAGTCATTATTTTGTATTAGTCCTGCCTTATCACTCACAGTGCTCGTTCCTGGGAGTTAGCATTCAATTATTAAAAAATACAAACAAAATATTCTATAACTAATACTGGATATATTTACAATTTAATGTGTTCTTAATTCTCTCAGTGACCCAAAAGTGGAAAGTGCCGAGCACAGCCTCTTCCCATGGCTTTGATCGTCAGCAAAAGGCTCTCAGAACCTCCCTGACAGTCCTTAGCATCTTGCAGGATAAAGCACTTTGACTGACAGGAAAGCAGAGTCATCTCTAAACTAGAATATATTAGGTATTTCACAGAGTGTACCAAGTCTGATTAACAGTTTGAGATAGAAAAGATAGACATGCAAATCATATACAAATACAAAATCCAGAAGGACTTTTTTGTCAGTAGTACATGGTGGTCCAGACTTTCTGCGGGCAGAATATGACCTACAGTATTCACCTGACAACAAAGGTATATCACATCTCTAATTATCATGCAAGCTCAGACTTCAGTCCTCTGCATCATTGAAGAAAGACTCTCCAGCTGCAGAATGCCATACAAATTATGCAGGTCTATCCTGTATATTACCAGGTCAGAGGAAACCTACAATGAACCAAAATGTCATCTTTTGTGCCTTCCACCCTAATTTCTGCAGCTTACTGAGGCCTGCAATAGAGTTTAGAGCAAATAGAGTTTAGACATTATAAGTATAGTCCCAACTGTTCTAAGTGATATATAAAAGTTCAGAAAAAAAGCTCAGTACTCAACTAGAAAAAAGGTCATCACAGTATCACCTGCTGCTTCCTGTTAGCTGTGTGCTGGGCCAGAATCAGAAAAGTTTTCAAGCTTGGAGATATCCCAGAGTTTGCAAGGTCATTCAGACCAGGTTGCTCAGGACTTCACCCAGTTGTGGTTAAAAACTACCAAGTGCAAAGACTGCCCAACCTCTCTGGGCAACCTGTGCCACTCCCTGATTGTCCTCATGGGGAAGAATACTCAGTCTGACCATCTCCTGTTTTAATTTAGGCCACTGTCTCTCACTCTCTGCACCACTGTGAAGACCCTCGCATTTTCCCCCACAACCTGGTAGGCTCCAGAGGTTTCAAACACCATCTCTGCTCCAGGCTGATCAAGCCCAGCTCCCACAGCCTCTTCTCACAGGGTAGGTGCTCCATGTTCCACCATCTCAAGGGCCTCAACTGAACTCCCTCAGTTTATTAATTTATCCATATTTATGGGCTCCTGGTTTGTAGTTTGTAATGCAGATGTGGTCTAACATGTTCTGAGTAGAGGGGGGCAAGCACTTATCTCAATCTCTATCTCTGCCCCTGTTCACGCAGCCTAGGCTGCCACTGGCCATCATTGCTGTCAGAACTCACTTGCTGCCCATCAGGACCCCCAGGACCTTGTTTGCAGAGAAGGAACATCAAGAACTCTCGATTTCAGACTCCCATGAAAACAGTGGATGACAAATTACACTAGACAGCAGTGGGCACAAACAGCTACAACAGCTCAGCCACTGGGCTGCAAGTGGGTAAGTTACTTGACCTCCAGACTGAGCCCAAACACACATAATGCTGATAAACTCACATCAACCAACAACATGACCACTGGTGCTACTTTATTGCTAGTAGATGGCATGATTGTGTATAATTCATATATAAGACCACTTCATGTCTTAAAACATAATGAAAATTTTATTGTCGATTGGTGCAGTCCTGGAAGTAGCGCTGTGTAACAGCCTTTTCTACTCTGCAAATGACTATCACAAATAAATCAGGAAATTCTGCTTTCAAACAATTAACTTTAAAAGCAGTTTCTAGTTTTCCTCCTTACAGATCCCTGTAAAATGTAGATAAATGCCTAATGGTTAAAGCTTGAGCTGTAAAGTTTACTCTAAAACAAGGAACATGATCAGTTTCATAGAACTGAAACAGTTAAAACAACCCCAATACAATCAAAATTTACATTCTCAGTGTTGAGCTCTGCATCTTTTTCATCTTTTTTGTGTGTGTATGTCTTTCTTGGTAGATTCGTATCAGTAACACAGGTCTGACTGAAAACTAATAAAACTTAGTAACAACTAGTGAAGAAGAGTTATCTGGGTATATAATAAGTGGATGCAAATAGCCAGCCATTTAGTTTTGACACCACAATTTGAAAGTACAAGTACTTATTTCATTAGCTCCTGTACACAGCTCACCAGCACTGCTAAATGAAGCCTTGACGCCTGACTGGAGCTATCAGCACAAAACAGGTGGCTTCCTGTGACACTACAGAGAGAAGCTCAAGCTCCCCAGGTAATTTTCAGGAGTTTGCTGTGTATTGTGGGTGCATCCTAGTAAGACAGTTGCATTTCAGTGATGGATGACACCATCTTGACATGCAACATTTCTAAAAGTTTCTTGCAGCAAGCATTCTTTAGTGTGAATGTCAGTTTCCAAAATGTTTCATGTCATCCTGCTCTGTGTTTCTCAGGACCTCTACGCATCAGGTCCACAGCCCTTAAGAGCATATGTTGTTCTGTAGAATCTTAAAACACTTTTTGAAATAATTCCAAGACCCAGACCTGGATAGATGCAAATCTGAAACCTCCCTAACCACTGACATCACCACGAGTTGATGTATCCCTACTGAATGCACATCCACTGAAAAATCATTCTACTCAAAGGTAGAAAATATGTGTTGAAAAGGAGACACGAGGTATCAGTGCACTGATATGTAGCTGCCTACATCCTAGATTTCCTTTGTTAGAACTAAAATGCCTTGGTTCACTGCTGGTAATAAGATGGTCAGTATGCCTTTCAGCTGAAGGTAACAAATTCCCTTGAAAAAATACATACCAAGTACATTAGCTGTACACTGAAGAATTCCTGAGACATCTTCAGCTTCTTCATTGCCAGAGCAATCTGTATAGGAGCATCTGTTTGATATATTGTGAAAATTCTTCTCTGCATCCCTGTAACTACAGTAAAAAATAAAGAAGTTATGGAATCTCCTTATACAAACACAAGATAGAAAAATACCTTTCAGAAATGGTAGTAAATAATACCTCTAGACCCCCTTGTCTATTCCTTCTTTCCCCCTCCATCACCCCCTTCATATATATTCCCACACAGATGACACATTAGTAGCCTGGGCTACATTAGTAGCATTATACTAGAATCTGGAACATTATCTGCAATGAGAATAAATGCATTTAAAACAAAATAAAACAAAACCAAAAAAAAATTTAAATAAATAAATAAATAAAACAGTATCAAAGGATTCAGGCATGAGGGAAGGGTATCAGGCGTATCTGTCATACTTCATTCCCACTTGGATGCTGTAACAAAGTTTTACAGTAAACTCCAAGTAGGACATTTATGAGGCAATGGAGAGTATCTAATAAGAAGAAATCTTCCATGCCACATTAGGTTAGCACTGCAAGTATAAAACCTAGCTTTCTCTGTGGATTATCTGCTGAAGAGATGAAATTTGTGTTATAGCTTGTTAAAGAAAAATTAAAAAAAAAAAATTCCACCAGGGGTGAAAGGTACAGAGTTGTGCTCAGACTAACAAGAAAGCAGCTGACATCTAAATTATTCTATTTGATTTAGCCTTGCCGCATTGGTTTTCCTTAATTCAACAGAAACAGAACAGAAGCTCAGACTATGTTTAATACTAAGCTTTATGCAGGTGATAATGAGGATGGAGGAGGAAATGCAAGTAAAGAAAGCATTACAACAGAGTGATAATGTACTTGGCAAAATATATAATTGATTTAGCTCAATGCACAAAGATTTTTAATGAGTATTTTATTAACAGCTTTGTTATGCTTTCATACTTTGTTTATACTTCATAAATCATGAATAGCAGTTTTAAGGACTGGACTCCTCATCTGACTAACTTCTGAAAAAAACAAGTGCCTGTTTTGCCAGCACCCATGGAAAAGGCTAGAAAGGATTCAGACTGCATATCTAGTTACTCCAAAAACAAACTGGTTTTCCATCTGGAGCAAGGTTAAAGGTTGCTGGTCCACACTGCAGTGACCACTCACCACTCAGTGGCCCTTGGTGACACCAGGCCATGTTGCAGGAAAAAAAAACTTTATCCTGCTTCAGAGGGATACCACATCCTGACCCACTGCCTGAGCTCAAAGCCATAGCCCAAAGCCACAACCAAGCCTGGTGGCCAGGCCTCCACAGCCAGTAAATACCACAGGCCAAGATAGGAGATTTAATGAACATTTTGTAGAATCATAGAATAGCTTGGGTTGGAAGGGACCTTAAAGATCGTTTAATTCCAGCCCCCTGCCATGGGCAGGGACACCTCCCACCAGACCAGGTTGTTTCCCAAAGCCCCTTCCAACATGGCCTTGAACACCTCCAGGAATGGGGCATCCACATCTTCTATGGGCAGCCTGTGCCATAACCTCAGCACCCTCTGAGTGAAGAACTTCCTCCTAATGTCTAATCTAAAACTACCCTTTTTCAGTTTACAGCCATTTGACTTTGTCCTATCACTACACTCCCTGACAAAGAGCCGCTTCTCAGCTTTCCTGTAGGCCCCCTTTAGGTATTGGAAAATTGCTGGGTCTCCCCAGCGTCTTCTCTTAAGGATGAACAACCCCAACTCCTTCAGCCTGTCTTCATAGGTGAGGTGCTCCAACCCCTGGATCATCTTCATGGTATACATGAAGATGAATACAACATTTATGCTATGTTATGCATAAATGCCAAGGCCCTGGCAATGGGGCCTCTGTGAGGAGAGGCTGGGGTTGCCCTGTGCTGGTCCCAGCCAGTTCCAGTCAGTCTCAGATGGTTCCAGGTGATTCCAAGTGGTTCCAGCCGGTTCCACCTAGTCCCAGCCAGCCTCTGTGGCCATAATGCAGGGCATGGCTGGACACAGCAGCAATGCCAATGGTGCCTCTGAATACACATTTAAGAAAGGGAAAAAAAAAAAAAAAAGGAAACGTGAGGGATGAGGCAAAAATGTCCGAGAAACAACTGCATGAGCAGCATGGGTGGAGAAGAAAGAGAGGAAAGAGGTGCTCCAGGCACCAGCAATGGTGTGTAGCTGCACACCCCATAGCCAGGGGAGGACCCCACGCTGGCACAGATATGTCCTGAACAAACTGCAGCTATGGACAGCTCATGGTGGAGCAGAGCAGAAGTGTGTGGAAAAAGGAGCAGCTGAGAGGTACTATTGTGGCTTGACAGCAACCCCCATTCCCCACCACCACATGGAGGGAGGAGGAAAAGGAGCTGGGGATGAAGGAGTGAAGTTGAGCCTGTGAAAGAGGGGCAGGGTGAAAGGTGTTTTAGTTTTGTCTTTGTTTCTCACCATCCTACTCTATTTTTACTTGCAACAAATTAAATTAATTTCCCCCAAGATGAGTCTGTTTGGCCCGTGACGGTAACTAGTAAAGAATTTTTCCGACTTCATTTTAACCCAGAAGCTTTTTTGATCTTATTTCTCCCCACTGTCCTTTTGAGAAGAGAGAGTTAGACAGCAGCAGGGTGAGGCCTGCAGCTGACGAAAGTTAGCCCACCACAGTACGTATCAACAGTATAGATCTCCAGACAGGACAAATATATGACATCTAGAGACAATTTTGACTTTCACTGACTGAGTTTTCAGTTTTTTCACTGACTAAATTTACATGGGCATTCAAAAACTTGAGTCAAAGTGTGCCAGAAGTTACGGGAATTACAGGTTTCCGGAGTGTCCCATTTTTAAACTTTGCCCATTAAAGTAAGGATATGTAAACCACATGTGGCCATAAATTAGAAGCTGCATTGTTTTTGCACACATGCCTTTTGCAAGGCACTATTTCACACATGGAAGTCTCTTAACATGAGACTTCAACCAATGCTTTTAGCATCTGAACAAAGTAGCAGACAAAAGGCTTCTCCCTTTGCCTGTTCTCTGGTGGATATCATAATTATCTGCCAAGATTGGCTCCCTTACTGCCCTCAGGTGCCAGCCAAATCTGCAAACATTGCAAATGTCATCTACCAAGCTAAGGCACCCTTTGAATTTTAACCAAACATTGAGAAACATGCAAGGACAATTTCCTCCACTGCGCTGAGCTTCAAAACAATGTCATAAATTCTGAAAAGACCCTGAGCGCAGCCTGAAAAAAAAAAATTCCCTTACATCTGTGTAATTAAATTCAGAGGACAGCATTCTTCATTTGTCACATGGCACCACCATTTAAGGGCTATAGACATGCAGCCATTGTATTCTGACTCTGTTAGAAACGTGAGCTGTCTGTGACAATAAAATACTTGTGCAGGTAAGAAAAAGCTTGAAAGGAGATTATTTTAATCACTGGGAGAATGTCTCAGGTTTTCATGATGATAATTGCTATCACTTTCCTTTTATTCCTCAGTCAACTCTTAATTTTCTTACTGAACTCTTAGGAGGTGGTTTTCTGCCCTGCTTCTGCAAAACAACTGCAAGTATGGTACGCAACCATGCCAGTGTATATAACAAGAAATAATGTAGGACTTTGCAAGACTGGGGCCTCAGGTCATAGCATAAATACATTTTCCAGAAATCTCATGTGGTTCTACGAAAAGCAAATTGGAGTAGATCCTATACTTTTATAAAAAGATTCCTTAATTCTCCTTATATAGGAAATGTCACTGTTAGAGGAGCAGTCATGCTGTGATGGAATTGAATGAAAGCAGGACTGAACAGCAGTTTATCACTAACATCTCTAATGTGTACTGCTACTGCAGAGCTTCCCTAAGAATTTGTGATAAAGATTAAAAAGCTTGTCAGTCAAGGCCGTAGCTTTGAAAGCATAAAGGAAAATACTCCATGCAACTTTCACTACCTCACATTAACACTTACCCAATAACTTGATGCTCAAAATACTGCAGTGTCCTTTGAAGAGTTTGCCGAATAGTCTGAGGCTATGGAAGAATAAAATGAAGAAAAAAAAAAAAAAAAAAAAAAGTAAGATTATGGAAGTATAGCATAGTTTAATTAACAAATCTTCCAATACACTATTTTTCCCCAGTTTTACTCCTTAAAATCATCTACCTGTCAGGTGCCAATCATGGCAATAGCAATAGATAGGAAATATTATTCATTCCTTGTATCTTACTTCACCATTTAATTTTACAGTGAGACATATAATTTATACTGCTAACAAGACTATTTGTGCATAAAAAAGACACCACTTCACAAATAGCTCTCCCAAACTATCACCTACCAATTATCTCATTACTTTAAAATAATTAATTTAAAATAATCTGCAAGAAAATGCTATTATTTTGTGGTGAAAGTATATCCAAGAAAAGCCATTTGGGTTTTTAAACTTTGTATGCTCACTAGAGCATTTTGCATTAAAGAAGATTATAAAGACATAATTTATTTTGGCTTGCTTTCCTGACAAGTTGTAACTCCCAAGTTATCTTTTAAATCATCAGGAAGCTCAAGTTTATCAAAAGAAAATCATGACATGCTTCAAGCATTTATATACTGTTCCACTTTAACAGGTGTTCACCAAGCAATGTATGTGCATATCTGTGTTTATTTTCATTATTAATACCACTACAGTATTCACCAAAATACATATGTTCATATATGTGTTTATTTTCCTTATTACTACTGATACTACTACTAATACTGCTGCTACTGCCAGTGCTGCTGTTCCTATTATTTTGAATTAATACATGAAAAATCTTTGGGTAAATCAAGCAAATGTAAAATCCAAGTCATTCTCTTTGGAAACAGGTCTATTTTAGAAACCTGTTTGTTTGGAAGTGTCCCTTAATTTGAGCTCTTTCATTCTTGAAAATAAATAAATAAATAAGTTAAAGTGATTTTGTTTGAACTAACATCAACTTTGAAAGTCTCAGATTTTGCTGTCTGCTGTGCAGATCCAGCACTTCAAGACCTGACCATTCTTCCTAACGTTGTTCGTGAGTTTGCAGAAAGAAGTATTTGCTTTGATGATGGCAGGAATGCAAAAGACTATACTAGGTTTGTGCAACTGCAAAAAAAATAAAAAATTTAAACCATATTATATGAACTTGTCTTCCCTTTTGAATTTAAATGTGTAGAAATGCATGCATTTGCAAAAATAATCTCAAAATACATGTCAACCTTGAAATAGTTTTTGTGGGTTTGTTTGTTTGTTTGTTTTTTGATAGTACTTCATCAGATAATTGCTTCACATCTCTGCAGGAGCTAAGTTTCCTGTGCTAAAGGGCATTAAAAATTATACGCTCTTTTGCAAAACACAGTGGAAGTGTCATACGAATGAAACCACCACATACCAAAAATTCATCTCTCCTTAGTTGTATGGGAGGAGTTGAAGTCCTTAGACCTTATGGACTACAAACATATTTCACGACATGTTCTCGCAGAAACTCAAAAGCTTTCCTGTGCTCAGTAGGCACAAAAATCCATTCTTCACATATAGAAAATATACATTTTCCCACTCTAGCAACCAGGCAAAGTAAAATGGCTTTAAATAAACAGGTCTAGACAGCTGCCATCTCCTATTTCCATACTGCATTTCCCTCAATCCCACTCCTACACACAGAACTTAAGTACTCCACCAGGACCTACTTTGACATGAAACATGGAACGCTGGAAATTTTTGATTGTTAAATTAGATCTCCTTTCTGGATCCCCCGAAGTACTTTTACAGTGAGCATATGGAAGGCAGCAATGCTTGGTTCCATAGTGAAGAGGAAGAAAAATAGCCTTTTTCTGTTCTCAAGAAATTTTGCAGCTTGATGACACTTAGCAATCCTCTGGGGATTGTCTTTCCCCTTCTCATTCTTGACACACAGATGTTGCACTTTTTACACGGGGAAAAACCCTTTTGAATACCTCAAGATTAGACCATATACGCAGCCTCCAAGTCCTGAGCTTGATTTCATCAATCACCTCCCTTCCCCCACAGTGCTGAATGAAATAAGAATAGCTCAAGTACTACTAACTCTCCTCGCTAAGCTAAGTCATCTGCTTAACTATTGTTAGAGAACTTTATACAATCCCATACACTCATATACCTTTCTACTGGCACATCCTTCCAAATATTAGAAATTAATTTAAAATCTACAGATATTATAAATTAAAGCAAAAAGTAGGATTTCATATTAAAACACTGGTCATAAACAGAGCTCTGTGCAATATACCCATAGTTAATATGAAAACCAGCCTGACTCACAGTCTTTCTCCACTTCTGACAAGAATGACATGTCACTGTACATGGTTAAAAAGCCACTGTGTTCAACTTCTCAGTTTATTGTAATCAGTGGTGAATGTACCTTTGCTATGGTTGTAATTCTGTCACTATGACCATCTTGCCATGACTAAATAAAGGGAGAGGAGAAAAATGACACCTGCCTACAGCTGCCTACATAGGCAGTTTGGTGTTCTACTTCTTTCACTACTGACTATGCATTGACTATGAGAGAGGGAGTGGGTAGGAAAAAATTTCTATCTCTTTTCTTCATCCAACAGCAGGACTTGATGAAGACAAAATAACTAAACCTTCTAGTAGCATAACACACATCATCTCTTCTGCTGTTAGGGGAGATAAAAGACGTATAATAATGCATGTCCTCCACTGCAATCAATGCAAGTCTGTGCCATACAGGTACCCAGTGGACCTTATGTACTAAGGTTTTAAAGCTTCAAGACCAATTAAAATGGAAAAAAAAAAAAAAGTAAAATAACAATAATTACCTAAACCAGTAATTTTTAATAATTTATTTTTATTAGAATGATTTATTACTATTTTGTTTGCATTGCAAAACAGTTACATCAGTTCAGGTTTCTAAGGGCAATTCAAATTTAGACATGCCAGTACTGCTATTTTTACGTGTAAATTAATCCAAAAATTGCCATACCAGACCATGTCCAAGCTCCATCTAGAATGATAAGGCAGAAGGAACCACTGTAGATAATGACTGATCTTTTGCATAGCAGATGCTATAGGACTTCCCTGAAATAACTCTGAATCCAGATAGCAAGCCATGGCTAACCCTAATATGTCAAAAGAAATGGTAAAATAAAATAAAATAAAATAAAATAAAATAAAATAAAATAAAATAAAATAAAATAAAATAAAATAAAATAAAATAAAGTAAAATAAAATATAAAATAAAAAATCACAGAATCACAGGTTCATATACATTTGAAGGAACCTTTGAAAGTCTCATTGTTCAATGTCCTGCTCAGAATCATATCTGTTAGAACTGGTTGCTCAGATACTTCTCCAGATGAGTTTTAAGTGCCTTCAACAATGGAGATCCAAACCCATTCCAGTATTTAACTTAAATATTGATCTGGAACTTCCTATTTTCAATCTTTCCTGCCTCTCATACTTCCACTGTGCACCCCTGAGAAAAGTCCAGTTCTGTCTTCACTACATCCCTTGACCAGGTATCTGTAGACTGCAATACAGCTCAAGGATGTCTCTTCTTAAAAGCTGAAACAATGCAGCTTTCTCAGCCACTCTTCAGATGTCACTAGCTCAATGGCTTAACCATCCTGGTAGTCTTTTGCTGGCCCCATTATCAATCCCTGAAAAAAATGCAGAGGTAGTTGGTTGATAATTTGACTTTGTGCCACTGATCACCACCTACTGAGCCCAAAGATCTTGTCAATTTTCCACCCACCTTATCATCCACTATGGAGTCCATATCTCACCAGTTTGGCTCTAAGGACACCATAGGAGACCATGCCAAAGACCTTTCCAGAGGCAAGATAAACAACATCCCCTCATCCATTGAGCCAGTCATCTCATTACAGAAGTCAATCAGGTTGGTCAGGCACAATTCATCCTGCTCATGCTCCTCACCTTCCCAGACTGTCTGCCATGAACATCCTGTGTCCATTCCCTGCAGCACTCCTGTCCTGAAAGCCATCTCACACAAGGATGTGTGTGCTAACACATGAGGTCCAAGCTCAGTATCACCTATTTGTTCCTTAAAATGGGCCCCTGGTCATCTTGCTTTAACAAAGTAAGCACAAGAACCTCTTCCACCACGTTGTCCCCCAGATATTTTTCACTTCCCCCCCCCTCCCCTCTCCCCACCTTTTCTTCAGACAATATAGACCCTTCACAAACAAACATAGTTTGAAGCCCTCATCAAGATCAGGAAGCCTGTTGTCAAAGACATCCTCACCCCACTTTGTCAGATAAATCCCTTCTTCCTCAGTAGTCTTTACTCCTCAGAGAGTGAGTGCATCCACAGAGATCAAAGCCTTGCCAGCAACACCAGCTACAGGGGCTGCCTCACTAAATGTGTCCACTCCAACCTGAGCCCTTCCCCCTCATCATCAGGATTAAAGAGACTCCAACTGGACCCCCAGGCCTTTGCCCTTGCCCTCAAAGCCATGTAGTCACTTCTGATATCCTCAAGGTCTCCCCTGGCTGCATTGTTGGTGCCCACATGGACGAGCAGCAGGGTTCATAGTCAAAGGCCAGACAAGCCTTGGCAGCCTGTTTGCAACATCATGTCTGAGCTCCTGGCAAGCAGCAAACCTCCTGAGGCAGCAGGGCAGGCTGGCAGATGAATGCTTCTGTCTCCTCGGGAGACAGTTTCTGATAACTGCTACTCTCCTTTTTCTTGGAGCCTCCAGCAGTTGAGGCTCAATTGGCTCTGATGCCTCATGGCAAATAGGTCATCTCTCTCACCTCTTCCCAGGGCACTGCACTTGCTCTGTAACTGCTGAACCACAGGTGGAAAAGGGTGCCTAAGTGTGTTGCCAGAAGTGATAAGCCTCCAGCATCCCCCATCTCAGGATTTTCCACTGTTGACCCTCAAGGCTTTTTCTCTAGTTGTCCCCCTTTCCTTGCAACATGGGGCTCAGGGTCTTGGCTCTGCAGGAGCTCTACAAAGCTCCCTCACCACCTCCTACAGATCTTCTGTCTGGCAACTCAGCA